GCAAACTGCTTATTTTTAAAACAGCCGTAAAAATGCCTGTAATCAAATAGATTACGCTGTCTACTTGATGAAAGACAGCTTTCATATGTGATTTTCTAAGGGTTAGTTTTTTTTAAATACAACAAAACATGTGAAGTCTAGGATGCCTTCATGCAGGACATTCTAAATGACTTAGGTGAGCAGGTTACATGGGACAGGTGCCAAGACATGGTCCGACCCTGTATGTAATATAGTGAAAAGGTTCATAACAATTATGGCTAGCATTTAGAAGAAGGAAATCCAGAATACTGTAGCACTGCAGATGCAGAGAAAAACCCTAAGTCAGACACTTCCGATGAGTTATTAAAGATGTTGAATTCTGGTCACATAACCAAGTGTAAGGAGCTGTGAAGGAAAAGTAGTAACGTTAGGAGAAGAAAATTTCTAATGGCTGAGGAGTTAAAAACATTCCAAATGAAACTATTTCGTATTCGTTTTATACCCTGAGCAAGCGACAAAAACCCTCATGTAGCCGAACTGTTTGCATTGATTCGAACTGTACAATCAATCAGTGATTTTAAGCACTCGGCCATGAGTGGGACTGATAGGCTAACGGAAACTAGCTCATTTTTACGTTGCACACATGAACCAAATTTGCGAAAATCCCATTAAGTCAGCTCATTTATCATGAATTGAATTTAGGTCGAATTATTAGTGTTCAAAGACACTGGCCACTCTACCACTTGGTGGGTGCTGCTATTCGTATGCTTAAATTTATCAAGTGAATAACTAGTCTGACTTAGACTAAAATTAAATAAACAAATTGCAGCCAGTCAATTTAAAATGAGGTACCTGAAACATGCAAATCAACGAAATTAAATCAGAATATTACTAACAAACAAAAGCATTCAAAATTAGTTGGCAATTAAGATGTTAGAGGAAAATTGTAAATAAAGAATTCTTAATGGCTAATTCGAAGAATAATGAAACTAGATTTAGAAGATTTGGTCAGATATAGACGATGTACTATGAAAAGAAGCAATTTCAATTTACAGAAAATGGGACCTATTCAGAAGAAAAATATAGTATTTCCACAAAAATATTCATCCATGTGAATTTGAAGAAACACACACAAAAGAAAATGGTAAATACAGTGATGATATCAAAACAATAGTTAATTTATTCATTTAACGTAGCCTATGTTCAGATTTTGTTAGACACTTTTTATATGCACAAACTAGAAATATATTAAACAGAAAACAAAAAAACTATCATTTTAATTCATATATAGTGGAATGTCTGTTGCAACGAAACAGGAAGGGCAGTAAGAAAGTTAGTTTCTTACTGCCTTTCCCTGACTTTTGTTTTCTGTTTGATAAACTTCTACATTATGAGCAAATACATAATTTTTACATTATATTTTGGTTCACATTAAATTAATTTTTAGCAAAATCTTTCTTTTTATCAGTACGATAGTCGAAAGTGGTTTTCGATCCAAGAGTTTCTTGAGGGCCGAAAAAAGTCGGGATTCACCAGAACAAAAGGCATAAGAATGCTACAATCGATTAGCCAAAGTTCAATATACGGTTATCCGTATGTAGACAGCGTCTTTACTGGTTACCATCATCTTAAACTCAGAGCAGTTAATATTTTTGATAGAACATTTAACCAACGCAGGAAGAAAAGACCTCTGAACTCTTCTCGGAGCATGCTCTAGGATTTTTCATTACAGTTTAGGGTGTTTTGGAACCAACTCTGCTCTTCTGTGCATAAAATCCAATGCCGTTTCTTGATTGGTAATTTACTCTTTTTGGAGATATCTGTTCTGATGTTTTAAAAGGTTAGGGAAGAGTTCTCGGGAATCCCGGAAGAGAAAACAGGCACGTTCTACTTCACAGGTAAGAGCATGCTTTAGTTATCACGTTATTGTTACACAGCGATAAAATACTTTAGAGATATTATATGCAGGAAATATTCTATATTTAAAAGCCATGATGTAGAACACAGAAAGAGAAAATTCTCTGATGGGGTATTCTCACGCCCACTAGAAATTCTTCTCCAAGCAGCCCCTCCAATAAACTTCCTTATCTGACCGCAATGGTTCAAAAGAGCAGGGAAGGGCATCTGGATCTCGGTGACGAACAGACATAAAAACTGAGTTCCTTAAGAAGTGACAGATGTTACATGATAAAACGAAATGCTTAAAAAAATCTGAAAGGCTTCAGATTTTAAATTACGTCCAAAGAGGTGTTTTTTATAACGTTTTGTGTGTTACCTTTATTTATTTATTACCATGCTCTTTGCACGTAAACCAAAATTCAGTTCAACAGCAATGTCGCAAAATAATTTTAAAATAAACATATCTTAAGAATTTCCCATACACAGTTCCGCGCGCTGGAGATAAAAAAGGTTTTTCCCCCTCCCGTAGAGTGTTGCCATTGCTCCTTTTAAATCGCTGAGTTTTAATAAAAATTCGTTAATTTTACAACTTAACCGATAATAAAAATTCCAATTTTCAAATTTGGTCGCCAGATGCCCATCACAGTAGGATTACGTATTCAAAATGAATGCCTCTAGGTACCGTTGTTTTATCACAAAGCAAGAAACATACATACATTTATGCAGATTCTTCATTATTTAATTTCTTCAAATATAATACAGGGTGATAGTATTTGGTGGGAACAGTTTGAAAAGTGAAACGGACATTCAGAGTGATTGAACGCAAAATCGCAAAACGGAAACAATAGTTCTTCAGGGACAAAGCTCCTTTGGACTAATAACAAGAAAGGAATGCTATCTCTTGAGTGTGGTAATTGGCGCTCGATTTTGATCGAAACAGTTCGACATGCGCCGCTGTGGATTTGCTGAAAGATAAAATGCTTAATAATTGATGCAATGGCCCAAACATAGATACTTTTACATAGCATGGAATTGTTAATATTCTTCATAAATTCCAGAAAAAATAGCTAAGGAATACCATAACCAAAAGCTGCATAAGTAAGCACAAGGCAAAAGAAAATGTGATTTGTATTAGGTTAGTCTCTATCTTGGCCTTTGAAAATGGGGTTCTGTCATACAATGCATAGTTGACGCTAGTGTTTCCAACCATATACTGCTCTTTTGTTTTGATTCAAAACAGCGTAAAAAATTAAAGTTTATTCTTGAAATGTGTTCTTGCGTTATAGTGACGGCGTAACATTCCTCGGAAGAGCTGTGCAGTGGATTTTTGAACGGTTTCTGCTCATAAGCCCAGTAAATTCCTTAAATATAAGCACATAACTCTATTAAATTGTTATCTTTAAGTATACATGTAAATCCGTTTCCAGACGCACTAAATCTGTAAATACATCTGTAATTTTTAATTATTTTAATAGTTCTTGAACAAAGAAAGTCAAGTCATTAGGAATGGAGCAGATAGCCCTCGAGTGATTTGCTATAATTAAATAAAACTCAAACATTAGGTATTGTAAATCATTTCATGAAAGTTTTCCGTTTATTTGAAAAATTTATCAAAATAATTGCGTTTATTTTTTGTTTATGATACTGTAGAGTCATTAGGGTTTTTTTTGGAAAAAGGAGACATGAAAAATGAGCAATGCCTCCTCAGGGACTCGAACCTGAACCTCTCGAATCGGCGCCGAGTGTGATAACCATTACATCATGAAACAACATACAGAAAGAGGGAGAAAATTCTGTTCGTATTCCCCCTTTTAAAAGGCAAGTGGGGTTTAGGGGACCCAATTGCCAAATCCTAGTGGTGAAGAATCATGATCCACCACCTTTTTTAGTTCGGGGACAACTGTAGACAGTATGTTATTTTTGAAGCAGGAGATGTGAAAAATGTGCAGTGCCCTCGCCGGGAGTCAAACTTGACTGTCTTGAATACGCGTCGAGTGTGCTAACCGTTACACCCCGAAGGCATGGAGCAAGGTGGGCGAAAATACCTTACAACATGTAATAACAAAACACATCATTTCGTGATATTTCGAAAGACATTAGTAGTTCATATAATCATCCGGGGAAATTAAGAAACCACGATCTAATACAAAAATGAACACCAAATTTTGAAATAAGTGCTCCTCCAAAATACAAATAAACAATAGAATTTGTTGAAAAGAATAAATTTGTAAGCTTATCCAAAACCAGAAACCTTTGCCAAAAATATTGAGAAGATAATGTGCAACAAATGTCAAAAGATAATGTTGACTATCGCACTACGAAAGTAATATTTTCTGAAACTTACGATAGAAAAGTTCATCTTTCCTGCACATGTTTCGACAAACTACATTAAAATGACTAATTGACTACAATTCAGTATTAAACTTATTAATATTGACAAAAATAATATTTAATCGCAACTATAAGTCTCATACGTTCCCTTTTACAGAAACATATCACTTAAAATTTTAAACATAAGTTCACTTAAATTAAAATTGCTACTTTAAATATATTGCTTCTTACATTTCATGTCGGTAGTCCACTATGATCTGCTACAGCTTAACCTCCCTTTCGAACATTATGGACAACACTGGGCATAAAAGTTGGACTAAATAACGTATATTTTAAACCAGTATTAATATGCAATTTTCCTTAAAATGTAAAAGCATTAAAATTATAGCGGTCACTGAAATTTAATGGAACTTTGTTCAATAAACGTTTTTGAGTTTATTTTAAAGATGATTAATTCCATTAATAATGTAAGATATATTTATGCTATGTAAATAAATTTGAGTTAAATTAGTTATTAGGACAAAGCACAGGAAGGCTGTTTATCTTGAAACCAATGTGTTTCCTTAAAGACCATACTGAAATTCCTGCTTGATATTTAATGATTAAAATCACAGAACATCCGAAACTACATATATCTGAAACTTCAATTATACCGACGACGTATTCTTCATTCTAAACCAAATTGAATTATTAGTTGAAAATAAACTCGCAAATAAGTAATTTACATTTTCCCGTTTTGTTGGTTTATTTTTTTAAATAATTTAGAAATTTAATGTAGTGCATATTTTTAGGAAGTTAATTTAAATGAAGCTAATTTAAATGACGTATATGATAATGAATGTAAAGCACTTGATGTAAGACCTTTAAATGAATATGAACCATCTAAGTTAGTTTAAGTGAATGTGTACGTCATGGGATTGTCATATTCTGTTCGGTAAGTATGTGTCCTATAAGAGTTAATAGAATAGTCATCACTTACGAATACCATGTTTAACTTAAGTAAAAATTAATGTATATATATATATATATATTTCCAATTTTAGTACAGTAAGAATAAGAACATGATTGTGTATTTGAATTGAGAGCTTGCGCAAATAGGAAAAACTGACTGCTTTCTCCGTTGCAGTTAATATACAAATAAAGCATAATTTCATTATTTCATTTGATCGATTAAAATATGTTTTGCACTTTGTTTTCCCAAAATAAAACTATGTTTTCTTGAACAATATAGACTTTTAATTAATTAACTTTTAATTATTAATGAAAAATAAAATTCGATCACTTCCATTATGATAAATGAATAGTTGGACTAGAAGAAAAAAAAAGGCCCAACTATCTGGATTAATCGAATACGTCAATGTTCTTTGGCCATAGTTACTCCGAATGTTTGCAGTTCTGAGATTCTTTTTAAAAAAGCAGAAATCTCGTAAGATCAGTTTACTTTTTATGTTAGAGCATGCAAAGAAATTATTAACATTCACAGTTGTTTTACCTGCATGGCCACTGATAAACCTATGTATAACTGTATAAAAGTATGAAGTATTTCATATAATGCGTAAACGCAAGTAATCACTATAATCATTAGAAGACTTAATGACTAAAGACAAAGAACATATTCGTCTGCTAGGCTAAACTATTTGAAAATTTACATATTTGATCGTTCTCTTTTTGTTGGCAAGTCACGTTCTGTAATATTTCTTCAAACCACTTTGAAAGTATCGTTTCACACATTTTTTGCTGTGCACTTCTACGTACAATTTAAATACCTTGCATTAAAAAAAGCAGAAAGTATTGAGTAAAATAAACATAGTTTTAATGTTGTTACTGATGTATATATATAGTATATTTATTCTCGATATAAAGTGCCTACAGGGTGTTTATTTCTATTAAGTATGTGTCTTTTGACAGTTAAATTTTTCTAAAACTTTTATTGTATAGAGATAAACAGATTTAAATTTCTCTTCAGAATAAATCAAATCTCGCAAAAGTGCATAGACAATTTTTGCAATGCTGACATATACATAAATAATTTTATAAGTCAATATAAATACATATGCTATATTCATGAGTTTTGGGAGACTTTTAAATATAACATAGAGTTAATTTTACATGCCGTAAGCGAAACTGTTGAATAAACTTCGGCTGAATTCCAACTAAAACAAAACCAAGTGTTAGTCTGTGAAATGCCACATATTTATGAAATCACTATCTTAAAACCCAAGTTTTACGAGTAAACTTGAAAGAATCCGACGATATGTCAAGCAAATATATTGGAGAAGGTAACGAAACTTCACTTACCGCCTGTAGCAGTATATTTATTAGTATGAAAATAAAAGCAGTGCCCAATTTCGATTGGTTTGGGGGAATTCATTTACATACATTTAGATGAAAACCTCGTTGAGAGAACTGGAAATATTTTACCGATAAATTCAGGTGAAATGTTATCTTTCTTGTCTGGATAGTTGTTGATTAGGATAACGGAATTGACTGACGAAAATAAATTTAATTAATGTATGACATATTTAAATACATAACTATTTCATACAAATAAAAATGCACAGTAACAATTTATTTAACTGTCCAGTTGCGAAGTGGCTAGCGCGTCAAGTAGCTGCAACGCAGGTCCGGGATTCGATCTTCGGGCTGGAAAACGGTTGACTCAGCCTATCCCTTGACTGGGTGGATAAAATGACTACCAAGTTCGCTTGGGGACTAAGCACCTGAGGTCCTGCAACCAAGCTGACCACTTGCCCAGGGCATATGCTAATGCACTACGGGGCCCAAGGTCAAGAAAGCAGATTTCGGGATACTACTCTATGTTTACAAATTCTTTTATGCGTATTTGGATATTTATATCTGGAAAAGCGTAGCTTCATAACTAAGTAGTGTAGGTATGTACATATAGTACATCATTCTATACATAATTAAAAAGAAAAGGAATCCCTGTTCGCTTCCGCAATGGAAGCCAACATTAGAAATTAAAGAATTAAAGAGTATAAGAACAAAAATTAGTAATAATTGTAAAAGAAGCCACCTACTTTGCTATGTAACTGGGCTGAACAAATGACTGTTAATTTGAGTTTTCTTTATGTGTTATGAAGAAACTGAAAACAAAATTTCATCGAAATTTCAAGGCGTTCAATGAAATAATAAGTATGAATCTAGCATTTCCTTTGCATAAAATAAAAGCATGAATTTTAATCTTGTATATAATAATATTCATAACTAATGTATAAAATCATAACTGGATACATTTTAAAGTTTATCTGACTCACAGGTAATACAATATGATTTTGTTAGAATATAAGTATAACGCTGTGCCTTTTGGTAATTCCCTAGTTCGAGTTTTGAATGTAGAGCACTGATTAAATCTATGGAAGATAGCCCCAAAACTACAAACATAAAAACTGATAAGTCGGTATACAGGGAGGTAGTAACTTAAGTTATTGCATTAATAGCTTTTTATTATTGCAGTCTAAACCGCAACGGCACTAAAATTTGAATATTCGCTACCCAAAGCTTCTTTGTATATAAAGAATTAGAGTAGGATTCTGTGCCGGTAGATAAACGAAATCCTATTATGTCTATAAGAGGAAATCAAACTTTGTACAGGAAGAAATAGACGGAGAAATGTTCCTACACCCCTTCTAAAGCATTTATTTACATTGTCTACATACAGCGCGCATATGCACTTAACGTAGATACAGGGATATGGTCTTCTTTATGAAGGTGTAAAGGCGGAATGCAAACGAATAAAATGTACATAGTTGATCTTTTTTAATGCTTCTCAGGTGTAGCGTAATCTCGTCCGTACGTGACACCATAGTCTATAAAGTTGCAACATGTCTTCAATACGCGAAGCTTTTAGGTGACCATGCAGTATAAATCCAACAGATTAAAATCAAAAGAACACGATGGCCAAGCGGTAGGAAGCGCATGATTTATCAATCTTATCAGTGAAACGTAAACACAGAAACTGTTGCTGTCAATGTGTAACTTACAGGAGAGCTCCTGTAAGTTACACACTGCACAAAATTGGTTGCTTCGTGGTGCTGCCGCTGATGCTCTTGAAGCTAACAAAAACATTGATCATTTCACTGTATACGAGTGTTATCAGTGATGGTATCATGGAGCTATTAGAGTCAGTGCGAATAATATAACAAAACAAATAGCGATGAACCCGTACCATAAAACCCCTTTATTCGAATTTTTAAAAAATCTGCTGGAAAACGTGGGTTTTTTTTTCTAAATTCTCCTGCTATGGATTATGTAACGGACATTTATTATTTCACAAAGATGCCGCTGTGATTGCGAGATCTCCCATGGTATAGACGCATCTATTTTCATTCTCGCAAGAAGTATCACAACAAAAAGAAAGCCTGTATTATCTTCCGGCAATAAGTATTCAGTAGCTTTCTCTGAATTATATGGATAATAATGCAATATTCTCAGTTCATATCATTCTATGCCATACGATATACGCAACAGCCATAATATTAAACGGGCACTATTTAGTTGGCGAAAACATTAGTCAATGGAAATATAGCAAGCGTAGAAACATTTTCAACGACTTCTGAAGGAAAAGACTTACAGCTTCGGCGACTGAACTCACCGATGTCTACTTTCGTTGAAACAAGTAAATAATGTTCTCTTGAAAAATTTTTCCAATGACATAGACTTTTACCTTTGCAAAACTCGCGAAGATTAACCATTTTCCGTAACAGAGGTTCAAAAATAACTTACTTTTCGGAAATTAGATGCTTATTGTTAATGAATTAAAAGTGACGTTGCCAATGCATTTAGCTCACACCTAAAAGATGTTTGGACTCCCGATAACATTTGATTTTTTTCAAGATTTTTTGTTCTGAGAAACTTAATAATTGCAGAATCTATGTCTCAGAAGAATGACATTCGACAGATATGGTTACTGCTTTTCAAACAGGCTTGACTGTACACTTGATGTTAATTTATGCATATAAAACTACTCTTTTCCTAGCTCATTTTGATGCTTTATTTACCTTCTAAACATTTCAAAAAGGCCAAAAAATAATCATGTGAAATATTATTTTAATTTTCTCTCAGCTGCTTATTGTACTTTTGTCGATGCATTTTTTTTTTTTTGGCTATTCTTGTTTTGCTATTGCAGAAAGTGTCATATTTTCTCCTTAGCAAAAATTTCTTTTCGCTTCAGGACCCTTCTTCACGTTCCTTGGAATAGTATAAATAATTATGTTTTTGACATTATACTCATAGGTTATCGCAAGAAATAGGCTTGTATAGAGGCATTTAGTAAATAGAAGAAATTGCATACAAAATGCGGCAAATACGAGTATTTTAAGACTGTGATAATAGTCATGTCATAAGTTAAGGGGCTTATGTAGCACAACTTAAGGATACGGTATTAGCGTAAAGTGTGTACCAGACAGTAAGTGACTATATGGTCAACACATTTTTTTTATCAATAAAGCGAAATTTGAAGAGGAAAGGTAATACTGAGTACATTAATCGTTAAACATTACAAAAAGTTCAAGAGGTATGTGTGCTTCCAAATGAATAGAGGAAAAAAGCAGTAATTTGGATATATGGAACAAAAGTTAAAATAAATAAATGTTTTTTATGAGAAGCTAAGCTGTAAATATTGTAATATTTATTCTTATTATCAGATAACAATGCATTTCAAATATGTATATATGCTCTAATTGTAGCAAACTTCAGCAAGGCGTAAGATGCGTAGACGATCATAGTTTTCGATGCTTCTCAGTAACACAGAAAAGGATATTCAACTCCGTAGTTTCCGAGTCAAGGCACGTCATCTCTGATTTATGTGAAGAAGGAAACCTGCAAGAAGGTAAGCTTGTTTGCAAATTCAATTTAATTATAGAGCAGAGTCATGTAATTTAGTTTTTGATTTTTCTTCCCTACTTTTTTTTTATTTCTGAAACGGATATCCGCCACTAATGCATGCAATTTAGCGTTGCATTTCGTATATGATGTTTTTAAAATGTAACTTGCAGGCATACCAGCAATGGCTGTAATCGATAACACCTTCGTTGATCCTAGAAGTTATGACTAGTGAATTAAAGCGATTTGAATACCGCTAAGGCAAAATTAGGGATTTAGCTTAAAATCATAGATTATGAGGATAACGTTATTAGCTTTCCAAAGCAGTGTCTTTTATTAATGTCTGAATAAAGTACATAGCGCTTCACTATTTAACTTTGCTAGTATGCACTAAAGCATTTTATCTACACTTTCTACCCCACGACCATGATTAGAGAATTTGCGGTTAGGTAATTAATTTATGAAATCACATTTACAAAAATTTCGAAGTAGTAATAAAATATACTAAATAACAACGACTCGGATTATCTTAATAATATGTACGATTCAATAAGTAGAACAAAGCAAAAATTTCACTAAGTATGAACGCTTTACTTATGCCGTGACATTACTTTCCATTTCAGTATAATAAAAGTATTCACAATAAAATAAGGATAAAAAAGGATAACACAATTTTGGAAGCATTGAATGTAAGAACACTGCATGTGCAGAAATATTGATTGCGGTGATTCTTGATGCTTAGAGTGTCCATCCGTTTTGAAGAAGAAGCAATCGAGCCGGATTAAATTCCTTTTTATTTAAATTCACATTTTGTGGCCACAATCACTTGGCACACCAAACGTGCCTGTTTCCAGAACAATTTTGATACAATCGTGATATAAGCGATCATTGCAGAGCATAGATGATTGTAGCAAAGCATCTTAACAAGTTGAAAGCATAAGCCAGGTGAAAGAGTCGCAGTAGTAATGCAGAGAAAGAGAAGAGGGAGAAAAACAGTTTCAGTTTTAAGTTTGGTTCACAATTTGGTGATTGGTTAAGAGGCATCTGCATTAAGCGTTACGTAGGATCGCATGATTAATTTGAGTGACGCAGTTTAGACTTGTAGCGCTATTTTTGGACAGAGAGAAATGAAGTCCCAAATTAAGAGAAAAATAAAAGAGGTTATAGACAATTAAAATTAGAAGTTTGCTTTCAGATTTTTTATCTTACATATATATATGTATATATATTTGAAAAAGTAACGAAAAAAGTGGAATTGTTAGAGATATATATAATTGAAACTATAATACCGAATAATAATATTTTTATGGTGTTTAAACTGGAAATGTTTATTGCAAGCTTTATGAAACAAACATTAAAAATCTTTAATATCGTTAAAATTAATTCCGCATTTTGCTGTGCGTACGTTAAATACCAGCTGTTGCTAACGCTGCTTAAATAAATAAATTTAAATGAATGGTGTGACAATTAGCAATTTTTCAAAATAAATTTTATAATGACGTAGAGATGAAAATTATTGCTTTGGTTATTTGAATATAGGGTTACACACGAGGGTTATTAGATTAAAAAGAGAGATGGCTTTGGGGAGGATTTTATGAGAGAAAACTGGCTTGTATCTGACTTTACACATGGTGAAAAACAGAGAACTAATCATGCATGGAGCGTATTCGCTTGAAATTTTGGCGCGGGTCAAACTCACAGCATTCAGCTGTCATCGCATCTCGGCCACTAATGGGGCTACTCGTCTCTATTAAACGCATTCGTAATTAACAGTAATTTAATTTATAATTTTTTTAGAAACTTGCATTGAGCATTAAAAAATTTCCTTCGCTTAGTCATACAGGACATTAAATTTTGGTTCAGATTCTCTCATTTAACAGCTGATTATTATTAAAAAATAGCCCCGTTTCTTAATCCTAAACCTAATCCTTAGGCGCTTTATTTTATGCTAATATAACAACACGAAAAGTGCGTAATGTAATATTTTAAATTTTTTAAGTAGTTAGGGTATTATAGACTGATAAATATAGTTATTTACGTAGAATGCTGTGAGCATAGTGGTAGGTATTTCTTTATTTCTTTTAGAGTAAATTTCATAAAAAAAATTGTTAATAATCAATAGAAGAGCTGATTGAAAAGTAAGTACTTCATGGATTTCTCACACATAACTCTTCTCAAACATAGACGTATCTGCTGCAGGCTCTTTCAGAAATCGCATAATCATTTCTTTCTCTAATTTTATTTTATAGAAGGTCTGAAACTTATTCTATATCTATAAACATTTAATTATGTTATGGCTTTTTCTAAATATTTAAATATGCATGCTACTATACAAGTATATTTATTTAACGCTAATATACCGCTAGGCATTAATGTTTATTAAAAATTTAATGTTTTGAATCGGTAGAAATGCAAAGATAAACCAAATCAGTCCTATTTCTCTTTGTTTGAATTGCTTAACTCGTTTAAAGTCCACGGATAGGAAAAAGGAAAATACCGCGCATTTCCTATCAATCCGACTGTTTTACTTTTCTTGAAAGGACGCTCAAAGGTCGCCGAAGTAAGATAAATAAAGAAAATATATGAACAAAAATGAAATCTCGATTTCTTTGTGCTTCATCCCCTCGCATTGTAGTCACGTCTGGGGGTGGAAGGAGAGACATCGCATTGCTGTGCATAATAATTGCACGAATGATGAACAAGCTTGGGTTAGAGCTGGACACTTCGCTTCAGACTGCACAATAGGGAACCGAGGCTAATGTACAGTATTTTAGGATGCACGACTGGAATAATAATAAGACTAGCGACACAATATGTCCCTGAGTCCAGCGGCTTTCTAGATAAAAATTCTGCCTTTTTCACCGTTTCTCTGTACACAATTTCTATGAATTTTTATGCTGGAGTATGACGACTGTCAGACTGGTTTGTCAGTTTAATGCATTTGCGGGCGAAAAAGTTTAAGAATCTCCATTATATGCAGATTCCATATAGAGAAAAGGCAATATAATGGAATGTGAAGGTGAAATAAGTATGCATGAACATGAAACTGATCTCATTGTAAAAATATAAAATCAAAATCTGAGTCGAAAATATTCGCTTCTCTACTTTTTCTAATTATTTTGTGTTTGCTTTTTTCTTGAAGCGGTGCGTTCTGAGAAGATTCTTGAATAAAACTTTCTTAGCATTTGGGAATAAAATTTTGTTTCGCCTGCAATGCAAGCCTCGGTTTGTTGAAACAGTTATCACTGCAAATTCAATTTACGGTTGTAAATACTGTTGCGTGCGTACAGGTTCGTAGTAAATGGAATGCACAAGTCCAATGAAAAGTGAATAAAATTTATTATTATCACAACAAATAAAACAAAATTCTTAAATTTCCTCAGATATTCGTACAATATTGCAATATCTCACAGTAGTTATCTTTTAAACTACTCAAACGTAATTCTCTACTGTAAACAACAGCAATTTTCTAAAAACTCTTAAAACAACTGAGCTGAGATGTCCTTTCTCTGGCTTTTCATTTTCTAATCAGCACGATCATAGCCTGGTATTTTCTCTATTTTTACCGAAAAGCAAAAGCTTACAATTACAAGATATCTATTCGTTAATGCGCTTGCACCTGTATTTTAAATTTTTCCGGCTTAGCTTTCTCTTCAAATTCGTCGTATACAGCATTGCACGGGGAAATGAAATATAATTTAATAAGAATTCTATTAACAATTGCAAATTAAATTAATCAATACAAAACCTGTAACAGCACTGAGAATGAACGCAATTTTGTTATTTTTCAGTGATAATCCTTGCATGATCCGAGTATCAAAGCTAATTCATTTTAAGAACAAAATAATATATCATGAAATCTTAAATTTCTCAATGCATTCCGATGCAGCCATTCGAACCCAGATCAAATTACCAATGTTCAGGGATTTCACCGCTCAGCGGTTGCTAGTCCCCATTCAGCACCATAACTTGAAATTACTTTCATAATGTTTCCTATTTTATTATAAAAAAGCATTTTAGTTATAAAAGGCATGTCCAGGATCAATATTTAAGGAAAGGAAATTTATAACCCTCTTTATAGAACACCTGCATGATATTCAGTGAGGTTAAGATCACCAACTGAATGACTGAAGTGAAAGGACGCTCATTCCAAAGAAGAGCACTGTGCGTAGTAGCCTTTATTTGAAATAAGTATTCTTTGCTAATTTAGAAAATTATAGCATATTTTGGCCTTGAGACGAGAAGAAACATGAAGCGTTCTGTGATCTGGAAACGTGTTCATTATTTGAAATCAGTTTACATATGTTTGCCAGTCTAACATTAATTTATGCATTTTTCTTGTTCCCAGGTACTTTTTATAAAAGTAATGCATTTCAGTTTTTGATTCTTCAAAACAAACCAGAAACACCCAGCTCTTTCTCTTCAGTACACATACACTCCGTGTCTCCAGAAAATAGCCCTGCATGACTTTTTGAGAGATTATTGCGTATGCATATTTTGAAGTTTTTATAGATATCACTGTATTCATTAATACCAGTGTTAATTATTCTAGATCAGTCGTTTATTTAATGTCTATATATTTTAACTTTGATTATCATGAGGTAAACACCAGAAAAATAAGCTAATTATTTCTACACCATGTTTCAATACTTCATTTAAGAAATTAACTTTTTATGTCATTATTTTATAATACATGTTACGTAAATAAGTACTTTATTGTTCTTTTGTTTTCCAAAGAAATTGCCTTTTTTATGCTACCCCTGCTAAAACTGCCCCGTAGAAACCCATAAAATTATTTTAAGTGGAATTGGCTTACGGGCACCTGTCTAGCTCTGTGGCCAAATCTCCGTAAAAATCTCCGTAGGCCGAATCTCCGTAAAAACCCATAGACAGAAACCCGCACAACTGTGTAGATACCCGTAGGCCAAATCCCCGTAAAAACTTATAGACAGAAACCTGTAGACCATATCTCCATTAAAAAAACATATAATATGTGTTCTATTCCGT